TCTTTCCTACCCTCCTCCTCTCTCTCTGCCCAGTATGTTTTGCCCTTTCTTAAATAAGTTATCATACAGGTACCACCATCTTGGCTGAGGGTCTCAGCTATGTCCTGCAGTGGGTCTGCTGGAGACAGCTGGAATCAGCTGCACCCGGCACAGGACAACTCCTCGCTCCCATGACCAGAACCTTGCCTCCAACACTCACCACAATGCTGATTTTCTCAGTTATAGCAGCTTGGTGTGTCCCATGCCACTGTACTTCATCTACACTAATGTTTTCCTCACTGTTCAAATGGCTCTCACAAACAGAAATACTAAACCAAAGGCTGAATCCCTTTCATGGATGCACCATCCATGCAACAATACTCTGAAAAGACCATGTAATCAGTTAGGGAAAGTCCTCAAACTGATGTCACACACCTCTCCTTGGCCAGTTAACAGTGGTATTGAGAACTTCAGCCTTTCAGTGGAGATGGAATGAAGCCTTTTATTTACTACACGTGGAGAAGCTTCCCCTCTCATCCTTCTCCAGGCTGAACACTCTCCAACTCTCTCCTTCTATATGACACATGCTCCAAGCCATTAATTAATCTTCGTGGTCCTTCATAGAATCATCCTGGTTGGAAGTGACCTTGAAGATCATCAAGTCCAACCAAAACCCAAATCCACCTATATAACTTACTTTACCAGTTCAGTGCTTAAATCATGTTGCTAAGTGCTATATCTGTATTTCTTTTAAATACTTTCAGGGATGGTGACTCCACCACCTCCCTGGGCAGAGCTTGTTCCACTGTCCAACCATTCCTTCAGTCAATAAATTATTTCTAATATCCAGTCGAAACCTCCCCAGCTTCAGGCCATTTCCTCTTGTCATTATTCACTTGGGAGAAGGTCAGCTCCCACCTCCCTACAACCTCCTTTCAGGTAGTTGTAGAGAGCAATGAGGTTTCCCCTCAGCCTCCTCTTCTTTAAACTAAACAATTCCAGCTCCCTCAGCCTTTCCTCATAGGGCTTATTCTCTATATCCTTCACCAGCTTGGTAGCTCTCCTCTGAACCTGCTCCAGCACCTTTATGTCCTTCTTACAGTGAGGGGCCCAGAACTGGACACAGTACTCAAGGTGAGACCTCACCAGTGCTGAGTACGGTGGCACCTCTCTACTCCTGCTGGCCACACTATTCCTGATGCTTCAGGCCAGGATGCTGTTGGCCTTCTTGGCCACCTGGGCATACTGCTAGCTCATGTGAAGTGGGCTGTAAACCAGCATGCCCGGGTCCTTTTCCACCATGGAGAACATTTGTCCTAATGCAGAGCTCTACACATTCTCACTGGTCTCTCCCCAGCACCTTTCTTTCCTAAGGAGCCCGTATGCACACATGGCAAGGCTCCAGTCTGATGACCTACGCCCACAAAATCTCCGTGATGTCAATGAAACCGTAGCCCTGCAATTGCAGACAGATGTCCAGTTTGTCTGTTTTGCTCACCATGCTGTAATGCGTTAGCGTACAGCCACTTCAAAGAGGCACCCACTTGTGCTGACTTTCCAAAAAGGTTATGAGCACTTTCTTCATCAGTGTCTTGCTAGCTCTTCTTCCCTTCTGTGCTTGTGGTGATGCCACTACAATTCTGTTCTGTTGAGGAATGACATGGCCAATTCTGTTTACATCACCCTGCGTGATTTGATTGCCAACCTGCTCTTCCACTTCCTCACTCTTTTCTTCCTTACTTTGTCTCTCTGCTGCTCAGCTGTGGGACTCTCTCTACAAGGATGGACACTGAGGTGCTGGAGCATGTCCAAAGAGGTGCAACAAAGCTGGTGAAAGGTCTAGGAGGAACGGCTGAGGGAACTGGGGTTGTTTAGCCTGGAGAAATGGAGGCCGTGGGGAGACTGTGCCACTCTCTACAACTACCTGAAAGACTACTGTAGTGACACAGGTGGCAGCCTCTTCTCCCAAGTGACAAGAGGAAATGGCCTCAAAGTTGTGCCAAGGGAGGTTTAGATTGAATATTACAAAAAAATTATTCACCAAAAGGGTTGTCAGGTACTGAACAGGCTGCCCAGGGAAGTCTGATGTCACCATCCTTAAAGGTATTTAAAAGATGTGTAGGCGTGGTGCATAGGGACATGGTTTAATGGTGGACTTGGCAGTGCCAGGTTAACATTTGAACCTGATGATCTCAAAGGTCTTTTCCCACTAAACAATTTGATGTTTCTGTTCTATGATTCTCTACATTTTTTCATCATGAAAGGGACCATCACCTGGGTCCTCACCCTCAGACTCACACAGTCACATCTGACATTTTACAGGTCTCCCCTGACCATACCACTAGTGCTCAACAGAGAAAAGCAGTAGCAGTTAATAAATAATCCTAAGGCCAGACAAGCCTCAACCATCTGTCAGTAATGTTGCCAATATGATCTCCCAGCAAGCAGCAGACTTCCCTTGACAAATGGTGGGGTCAGTAGATGGGGGCCTCCATCCCTTGCATCAAGGAGTCTGTCACTACTACACTCGTGTCCTCATGCTTCTGCAGAGACCAGGCTGAGCTGGCACAGATGCTGTATTTGACTCAATTCTGTCTGAATGTTTCTGGTAAATAATTTACATGAAGTAGTTTCAAACAAAACCAATTTCACTTGCTGACATTGATCTTTCCATGTCTACAGAAACCTCATTTAAGCAGCAGTTATCTTTCAAATGGAAAAAAATTCCATTCATTCTCAGAATATTATTTAAAAACAAACATGCATGCCAAGTACTTCCTACTGGAATTATGCATTTACATCAGTTTTATAAAAATATACTCACAAGATTATCAATTTTCAGGGAGTTCTTAATTTCTGCATGTATCCTTTGAAGCCTAGAATCCATTGATGTTTCTGAAGATTAAAAATAGTATGCATAAATATCTGATAATCACATCAGGTTTGTTTTTATAGAAACCCTTCTACAAATTGGAACATCATAGAGAATGCAGAAAGAAAAGGGCACATGCTCCCTTATCAGATAATGATGCATCTGCACATATAAATACACCACAGGGCCTACTTTATCATAAATAAAGTAGTCAGCTTTTCAAAATTGGACACTATCAGCAACTTACATAGTCTGCTCTTTAGGCGTTACAAGCTACAGGTAATTTTCAATTCATTTTGTATTTCAATATGCAGCTGTCATCTTCTACTAGTAAGCCAGGTTAAAAGGAAATTTCAATAAATACTTTGAGTTATACTAAGATGGAAACCCTTTAATGACAGGACACCTGGATATTAATGGTTTTGTTTCCAGTAAATCAGATATGATTCAAGTTACAGACCAAATCCATCCAAAGAAAATGTTCCCAGTACACATGCTCTGGCAGGTCTAAGATGAACGATGACGTCTGTCTCTAATTCACATGCTGACTGCCTGTTTTGATTTTTTCATAAGCTAGTAGTATGTATTCAGGATAATAACTGCAAGAAAACAGTTTCCTTTAAGTCCAAGATTCACCAAGGAAGTGTTTGGGTATTTTTTTTTTCCCCTGCCAACACTGGGTTGGTTGGAGTCCATGCCACTTGATCTGTACTACAGTGCAAATTAGTGGTTTGGACTGCCCTTAGAGATGGGAGTACTAAAAACAGAATTACTTATCCCTGTGAAGGTCAGTTTCCAAGCATGGGTTAGTAGACAAGACCACAGTAATCTGAATCTAAGCCTCTTGCTTAGGAAGAACAAGCCTCTTGGTTAGCAAGCCTCCTGCTTACTAAGAGGTAGCATCTAAATACTTCCAAGAGGTCTCTCATATTATTGTGTTATGAGAAGACAGAAAGGAAAAAATTAAAGGAAGAACTAAAATTATTCAGTTCATAGAGTAAGAGCTTTTGTTCCTTGTTCACAAATGGAAGGGATCATTAAGGATTAAAAGCTCAAATAACAGTACCAAGGGAATAGGAAAGACCTGTTCTCATGCACTGAAGAGACAACGTTAGAGGACAAGAATTCAGTGTTTAGAAGACCTGAAGGAAACAACCATCTCAGACTGAGATTTACCCTTAGTAGTAAATTATCTTATCCAGGCAGATAATTCTGTCAAAAATTTAAGATTACCAACAATACTTTACTCTTTAACTCTTTAATACTCTTTAAACTAACCTCTCTTCTTCTCTATCTTCTTAACTTCTGTTTTCTTGCCTTCTTCTTTACTCTGCCTATCAAAAATATTGAAGTGTGTTTACAATGTTGTAAAGTCTGCTTTTCAGTCCTGTTTCCCCTGACTTTTAGAGGAGATGCAGTATTTTGAGGTATTATCTCACTAAGACATTAGCATGCAAGAACTACAAAAAGCCAAACTCTTATTTTTAAAGACTGAAATAAATGAGCAAAATTAGTTAGCTGAGATACTTCTCACTGAAGGAAAGATCCATCATCCTGCCAGACTGTCTTCTGTAGAAGCACCAAATTAAAGGATTTTAAAAACAAGTCATATTTCCAAACTGTGTTTTATTTTGGCTGCACATATAAATTGATAAAATGGCATTGTATGGAACTAACTTATAGATAATATTTTTCTTTTGATGACAGAAAGAGTGAACTATTTAACATTACCATGGGGAATTATGGAGAGATTAATCAGCCATAATCAGTTTCTATGTGACTTCTATCCCCATATAATTCATTCTAACAGTATAAATATTATACAACTTACCATAAAAAAAATACAAAAATTTGAAAAAATAGTAATAAAGGGAAAGTATTTATTACACATTCATTGAAATTTCATGGCTTTCTCTAATTGTATCACTAAGAAGGACACAAGAATGACAAAATAAAACTCCTCTTCATCTCAGATACCGCATGAAGACAGGCAGAAGTATTTGAAACAAGCTTTTGAACTATTCATTCAGAGAAGATAATGAACTTCTACTTACCAAATTCTCAGTCTTCTCTTACTGAGGGGTTTCAAAGCCTCATCTTAGAATATGCATATTTCAGAACATCATGATTAAATATTCTGTGACTAACTTTCTTCCTGTCACAGTAATATGCACCCATATAATATCCATGTCTAACTGTCTATCATCTTCCATGTTCCTTTCCTACTCTATCCAGTTAATGAATCAACAGTTGTAAAGTACAAGACTGTTGTACTTCAACTGGCAGTACAAGCTCATACTGTTTAAATGGTAAATGTAAACTTTTATGTGCAGAACAGTGTACAAAGCTCTATTATTAGATGTAAGTAAGTACTAACAAAGTAGGTACAAAGATGAGCAAATGGAAACTAAGTTGTTAAGAAAAGTAATTAAAAAACCACCTATCAACCTCTCTTCAGTGTACTTGTAGAGGAACCTGAATACAGACAACAACAAAAAAATCTTTTTATCAATATTGAGTTTTGCAGTATCAGTCATCAGCTACAATTAAATTCATTATGCATCCAGTAACTATTACTCCTTTATCTTACTGAAACAAAGCTCCATCTATCCTCCAATACATAAAATATGACAGCTATTTAAAATTACAGGAGATTTGATTATTATAATGAAATCAATATAGGCCAGTTTGATTGCAAAAATCAATCAACATATGTCAGATTTATATAATGATATATTAAAAGCTGCAAAGATGCTAAGGACAATTTAGTATCAGCACTGGAAAAGCTTAGCTTTGTTACAGGCTAGTAATTCATTTAGGTTTACCAGACAAGGATTGACAGCCAGAAGAAGAGAAGAAAGGGCCAGAGGATAAAAATAACACCCCAAAATAGATTGTTAATGAATATGGAAAAGGTAGAATTTTATTGTTATGGGTGAAAGGGATCATTAACCTCCTCTTTTTTCTCTGAATGTTTACCTTGTTCTCCCTTTCTTCTGCCCTCCCACCACCTGTGGTGATGGGAACAACATGATCTCATGATGGCAGCTTCTTCAGCCATTTGCATAACAGCTCTTGAGAATGGGTAAGATTTCCTCCTATTTTCACACCCTTCCACCGCCCTCCCCTGTTTCTGACAGGATCTTCTCTCCATTCTTATGCTTGATTAATTTTTAATAATTTATCGTTCAAATGCAGACCACTTTTGGTATCACTCAACTAGCTTTGAAATGCTAGAGTAGAATAATTCTTAGTCTTTTCCTTGTTCTATCTGACAGTGTGTGCTCCAGCTGACAGACAAAGAAGGAAATGCTTTCCAGGTAACCCTATGCATTCCACAATCTGATAAAAAATCTGTAACCATGAATTAACAAGTCCTACCTGCTCTCAACTGAACGTATCCAAAACTTTAAGAAAAACACAGGTCCTGAACAGAGTCCGCTAGCTATCTTCTGCTAGAAATTCTAAGTCACTGAAAGACTGACATTGCTTAATTTCTAGGTTAAATTTTTCCCTATTCTCCCACAACAGAACATATTGGTTTAAAGGAGCCTTTTACTCTTCATTTAAATAGAAGCCAGGAGACAAAACAAAGACAAACAAACAAAAAGGGCACGGGAAGAGAACAGTGCAAACCAGTTTGGATTTTTTTCAGGTCCTGTCTCCTCTCATTAGTTTCAAAGTACTTCTAAAGTCTGTGGACATCACATATTAAACACTCACAATTCAGATTCTGTCTGCTCCTCTTGCTTACGCTTTCTTTCTGTTACTTCTCTCTCATGTTGGCCTCTTACAACGTTTCTTCTATGAGCTGCCTGAAAGCTTCTTCCTCCTTTTTTCTTCTGTTTTTATTTCAGGATTATAGAAAGACAAAAATCAAGCTTATTAAATAATTGTTTCTGTAAATAGGTAAACCTACCTACACTAAATATCTCTGAAGTATCTCTGCTCCATGGAAAAACTTGACAAAAGCTGGCCTTCCCTGCAATTAAATCCAAGACATGTTGGCAAGTCCTGAATTTCTTTAATCCTTTCTCCCTTTTTATTTTCTAATAGAAGGCAAATATCCTCAGTACCAGAAGATGGAACACACTCCAAATGATTGGCTGGGGACAACTTTATACCTTTCAAACACTTGTTTTCCAGCCAAATGTTCTCTTAGATGCATCCAAGGAAAAAAAACATCTGAGTTCCAAGAAACTTAAACAGAAAAGAGCCTTTTGACAAAATAAATTACTGCTACACTTAAATCCTTTTTTAAAAATTAAAGTGTCTCAGAAAAGAGGCTTTCCATAGATATACAGAATAAAAGTTGTAGAACTTATTTTTGTCAAATAATTCTTCCAAGAACTTCTTTGGTATGTTCTACATTAGCCAGACAAAGGGCTCCAACCTTCACTAAGATCTATCATTAACTTCAAGAAAGACCTTAATTTATACTACTTTCCCTCTATAGTAAAGATATCAGGAAAGCAAACTGATACCTTGTCACTGTCTTGTTCTTCTCCATCATCTTCAGAATCAGAAGCTGATGCAGAACCCACTTTTGCAGCATTTTTCCTTTTTGGTTCAGCCTCTTTCTTTCCTTCCTTTTTGTCAAATTCCTTCTTTGATTTCTCCTCTTCTTTCTGACTTTCCTCATCTTTTTTCCCTTGCTTTTTGGTCTTTTCTTCCTGTCCTTTTTTCTTTGCCTTCTCCTCATCATTAACACTAAAACATGGAACAGCATTTAGCCATCACATCCAATATCTACAGTGAGTTTAAAACATCATATTCCTCTAACTCAGGAAGTTCTGCTTATTTTTTAATTACAATATTAAAAATAATTCACCCCCGTTTCATTTAATGACTCTTCAAAAATTACTTTTTCTGAAACTACAGCCCACTACCTGTGCAAAAAACAGCCAAATAAATAATAGCACAGGTGCACTAAAGCTAACATTAATATATGTACATAAATCCAAAACTAGAAAGTTAATGTTCTGTTCTCCACACATGTCTGCATGACCAAGACTGCATACACTGTGAACTAGTTTTATAAAGTATACTACTTAAGGTGTACATATACTGAAACTGTCCATTTACTATCTTTAGAAAACTATACTGGTGGTCAACTTTTCTTTCAATTACTAGAACCACTAAGGACTTGACACAAGAACTGAAGAGGGTAAAAAAAAAATAAATGTAGGTAACAAAATAGTGTTAAAATTCTATCAGAAGAGATTTGTGAAACAAAAATGTAAAAAAAATTCAATACAATAGGTTTTGCATGATCTTGTCTTTTCCCTTAATTAATATATTTTACTCTTCACTCACAATTACATAAGGAATTTTGCACATATTTTACACGTTAGGAATGTTCAGATCTTCTGTATCTTGTTTCAAAAATGTACTACGTAAGTTACTATATATTCATTACCTGAACAGTAAATAACATCAAAGCAAACAGTAACTCATACTGAACACCAAAGGGGCAAAATCCTGTCAAAAACTCAGTAGTAAATATGAAGTCTTAACATATGGGACAACACGGTTTACAGCAACAAAGAAGCACTACATAAAGAAAAAAAACAGAACAACTCACGAGTCACTCTCTGAAAGACAAGGTGGTTTCACCAACTTGGGTCTCCCTCTTGGCTTTGGAACCTTAACATCGGAAGCTAGTATTTATACAAAAACAATAGATTAATCCACAGACTTTGAAAAATCAAAGTGTTGGAAGTTTTTTTAGCTGATTCATAATGTAAAAACTTCGGGCTTCTTTTAGCCAGAGGTTCCAGCTACCAATTCTTGTGGTTTTTTGCACTCTGTGCAATTAGGATTTGTTTCACATGTTGCATAACTAATATTAACAAGAAAGTCTGAAATTAGAGAATGGAAATAAGTAATTAATTGTCCAGATTTATGAAGTTTTCCATTATTTTTAGATGTACAACGGGGCTTCTGTCACTTTCTTGGTAACAAGAAGGTCTACCACCACAGTATAGTACAGAACTAAACTTGGGAATTCCTTAGATTGACCATATTGTTAGGAATAAGACAAATAGTGCATATCCCTTCTTGGCACTTCTAACCTTCTAATGCTTGTCTGATACCAGAGAGAACATGTGCCTAGTAAACCTAGTAGTCAGTGTTTAAACTTTGTTTGGTGTTAGCATGGAGCACTGTTAAGCAACAGATGCCTGCATCATATCAACACCAGAAAAAGCTGCACAGTATACCTTATAAAAAGGTATTTTATACAGGACATAAAAGCATCCTTTATAGATCCTTCCCTGCTCTTACAGACACCAGTTAATAAAAACATACAAAAAACTCTCTACAGATGAAAACCATAATAGTATTACAAATGTACATTTGCTCAAGTAATACTTTACTTCCTCACAGCTTCCAAGACAAAAGTAATTAAGCCTAGTTAACTGTGGTTCCACCTTCACAGAATCACAGAATCCCAGAATCCTAGGGGTTGGAAGGGACCTCGAAAGATCATCTAGTCAAATCCCCCAGCCAGAGCAGGGTCACCCAAACCACATCACACAGGAACTGGTCCATGCAGCTTTTGAGTGTTTCCGGCGAAGGAGATGCCACAACCTCTCTGGGCAGCCTGTTCAGTGCTCTGTCACTCTCACAGTAAAGAAGTTTTTCCTGATATTCACACGGAACCTCCTATGCTCCAGTTTGCATTCATTACCCCATGTCCTATCACTGGTTGTCACTGAAAAAAACCTGGCTACATCATCCTGGCACTCACCCTTTACATATTTGTAAACACTGATGAGGTTGCCCCTCAGTCTCTTTTTCTCCAGGCTAAAGAGACCCAGCTCCCTCAGCCTTTCCTCATAAGGGAGATGTTCCACTCCCTTAATCATCTTTGTGGCTCTGCACCAGACTTTATCAAGCCATCCCCTGTCCTTCTGGAACTGAGGGGCCCAGAACTGGCCACAATATTCCAGGTGTGGCCTCACCAAGGCAGAACAGAGGGGGAGGAGAACCTCCCTTGACCTACTAACCACACCCTTTCTAATGCATCCCAGGATGCCATTGGCCTTCTTGGCTACAAGGGCACATTGCTGGCTCATGATCATCCTCCTGCCCACCAGGACCCCCAGGTCCCTTTCTCCTACACTGCTCTCCAGCAGGTCAGCCCCCAACCTATACTGGTACGAGCAGCTTTCTTCCCCAGATGCAAGACTCTACACAAGTTTCTCCCTGCCCAACTCTCTAGCCTGTCTAGGTCTCACTGTGTGGCAGCACAGCCTTCTGGGAACTGTCTTTCAGATAGTTACTTTCATACTGCTAGCAGATATGAGGATAAATTGTTTCCCAGGCTAGATGCTCATACAATGTACTCAACTGCTGTGAGAACTCTTCCAATGCAGTAAGTAGCTAACAACCAATTCAAGAATATTTGCAGGCTTACCACAAGAATTCTGATGAGTTAGATCACTGCTACTTTGAAAAAAAAAAAACAAGCACTGCAGAATTATTACCAAATTATTCTAATTATACATTTTAAGAAAAAGTACCTTCATCTCTTTTGTCTATCAATCTACAGACACTGCCTTAAGTATCTTTTTAAAGAAGTCTGACTGGCTCTTTTACTGTCCTCTTAGCTCCACCTGCAGGCTCTATGTTTCCACAGTTCTATTCCATCTGTTTTATTGGTATTTTTAAAACAATTGAACTACTTTATATTCCTTTAACAAATACAAACAGTTATGGAGCAACAATGCACAAAGAGCTTTTACAATTTATCTGTAGTTTAGCAGCATTCTATGAAGGCAGCTTTTCTGAAGATGATACTTATACTTAAAGCCAATAAGTCTTATTTAAAGGATGAGCATTATTGCTAACAATTTAAAACCATTATAAATCCACCCATTATAAACAAAAACATTATAAATCCATTAGTTTGAGGTGAGGTGTTTCCTCATTACAATCAATAAGTAAAGACTGTCTTTAACATGAGAAAATCCTCTGTAATACTTCAAGGAAAAGACTGTTCCCTGACTAAGTAATTCTACTTAAGATACTTCTGTGGTGAAAAAAACATATATCTTTCTTTTTAAGTTACCTGCCGGTCTTCCTCTTTTAGGGCTTACTTTTGGAGACACTGGCACAGGAGCTGCTGATGTCACTGCTGCTGCCACTGCTGCTGTTGCCACTGGTGCTGCTTCCTCAGCCTCAGGTTGTTTTTCAGCCTAATTTGAAGAATGAGTTTCACAAGTGAAAAAACACAGGGCAGCAATATTTAAATTATTTTCTCAAGCAACTGTTTTAAACTTCTATAAGTGCATTATTATGCTATTGCTTCTACATATGAAAAAAATGTTTCCAATTTAGAAGCATATTATATTTAAGTATCATTAATTTCGACCTCTCCATACTATTGCTACCTGATACAGTAATGTCTCATAGGATTTCAACAAAACAAGCCCATTCATCCTCGGAACAATAAACTATCTTGGTTCAACAAAGGAAAAAGTTTATTTGTAAGTATTTTAAGGTCACCATAACAGTAGGGAAAAACCCAGTTTTAAGCAGGTAAGTTTACTTCCCCCCACCATTTTTAAGTACTCTTCTTTTGGATGCCATCATCTCCCCCAGCTGCATCAAAGTATTAACCCAGTAGATGGAGCTATTCAGAAAATACTTGCTTCTAGCTGTAAAGCCAACTGCTCTAAAATTAAAAACTGTATGCTGAACTGCACTAACTAGAGACAATGACCTTCATCTATATAGTAATTTTAGGGGGGCTGGGTTGTAAAAACAAAGAACTTAAGACAAAATATCATGTTGATGAAAGGATACATATCTCCCTGCAGAAACATTCATTAGCCATACATAAACAGAATTGAGAAAAATCCCCACCAGAGAAAATATTCACATAATTTAGTGTCCTGGATGCAGAAGCATCAGCTAGCAGCAACAGAGAAGTTATGGCAAATAGTTATCATTATTTGTGGCACCTATAATAAAAGAATTTTATGAACAGAGACAAACTTAAACCTAGAGCTGAGAAGAGGTACATCTCTCACTAACTGTGCTTTCCATGAGCCTACAAAAGACTGTTTAAACAAAGAAAAATAATTGTTAGGTTGTTTTTTAACAACTCCAGAAAAAGAACACATCATGTTTCTTAAGGCACATAAGAGATGTATTCAGTCATAAAAGTGCATAGCTAGCCCTCTTTTCTGACACACACCATATCCTTTGAAAGAATACATTTTTCTATTCAGCCTGTAGTAATGCAAAATTCTGGTTAAATCCCTTGCCACATGCCAAACACAAGTCTGTGAACTGAAGCTAGTAAATGTGACTGAGGAAATCTTAGGCCCCCCATGCCTTACAATCCCAAAAATACCCCAACTTCAAAGAAAACCAATGAAAAACATCACAATGGTAAGATTTTTTTAAAAAGCAAGGAATGAAAATTTTGTGTGTCTGTCATCTGTAGGGCTTCTCTTGCATTTACAAACTGAAATCACATGTATGCATTGCCACAGACACTCCGTAAAGTTCCCACTGCTTCAGACTAGAAGCTGTTTTTGAATTTTATTTTAGATTTTTATAAACTTATTTTTTTTTAAAGGCAGTCTTTATATTTTTAAAATATTCATGGTATTTTTAAGAGCATCCAAACACAGATCTTTTTCATGAAGCAAATGATACTCAGTGCACTACTTACCTGTGGCAAACATATTAAGGTCACAGTTAATTCTTGCTCATTCCACCCCTACTATCAGCACTAAGGTTACAAGTTAAATAGTTTCAAATAAAAATTAAACTTTGCCCCATTTTAATATAGTTTTTAGTTGGGTCAGAGCCATGATCTGGCTTGCTGTATGATCACATGAATATGAAGGCTGGAACATGCTGGGCATGCAGTTTGAACTGCCTCCTTCAAAGTAACCCAAATTTTTTCCAGGTTGAAGAGACCACTGAATCACAATCTCACAAAAAGCAGGAGTATCTCAGATGTTACTTCAGTGTGACAAAGTTCTTAAGATAAACTTTTCAGAGCTTCAAACCAGACTATTAGCAGTCTAGCAACAACTTCTATCTTAGGTGTTTTTAACTTGCAACTACCAGGATAAGACAGGAACACCCTCACTCTGTAGTAAGTTCAAATAGGATTAAGACTTGAAAAACAACCTCTGGGAAAAAAATGTTCATTACTACAAAGCTTTCAACCATCTGAAAGGGGAGGAGGAGGAGTGTCAAGCACTTCAACTTCTGCCATCACATAAAAAAATGCCAGTTAGGTGAAGTAACTAAACACATTGTTACCTTTCTTTTTCTTCCTCTTCTAGCAGCTTTAGGAATAGAAGAATCAATTGTTTTCACTGCATCCTGTGAAGATTAGAAATTATGTTACAAGTCTTAACAAAACAAAGATATATTTTCAATGATTCTGCGCTATTTCCACTACTGAAGGTTCCGGCATATAACTTAGACTAGAATTCCACAATATACATAAAGACACTTCCTGCTTTTAAATTATTTATTTTCTTTTCTGAAAGGTAAGAAATTAAGTAAGTACTAATAACTGCTTCTAATAAAACTATGTACTCATGTTTTGGTCTGTCTGAATTCATTACCCAGTCCTTTAAAAAAGTACAATACAGAGTGAAAGGTAACAAACACTACTCCACCTGTTTTAACGGAACTTACAGAAAAGCCAGACTGAAAGTTGCCTTGACTCCAGACAGCTTCAGTGAGCTTTATGAACACAACTGACCACATAGGAAGTTGCATATAATTAATATAATACCTATAATTAAATAGCAACTGAAAATGTTGCAGTAGTAATAGCTATAGCTTCTTAGTACTCAAGCAATATATTTACATAAATCAAAGCAATAGAAAAAGCTTTCACATACTTCTTTACTGTTTTTTTCAGAAGATAAATCATCTTCCTTCAAAGTATCCATCTCTTTTTCCTCTGTTTCAGCTTCTGTATGTAAGTTATTATCCCCTTTAGGGGATAACTGCAAAGGGAATCAATGCAAGAGTAAAAAATGCATTAAAAACTATTTCATAGTGAAATCAGAACACATTAATAAACATCAGGCTGCTTTTTTTGCTTTATATATTTTAAGTCTGTGGATACACTCTTAGGTACATGTTAAAAGCCTAAGGTAGGACCACTTTCTCCAATACAGGACTGCAGACAGTAGTCAGAACAGGTCAAAATACAGCAATGCACTGTGGTGGAACTTAAAATCCACTTTGTGTTCATAAGTATGTCATCATTACATGAGTACTTCTGAATGTTAATGCCAACACTCAAGATTCATTTGGATCACTGTTTATCTATTACATACAGATGGATATCTTATTCACAGACTACATTTAGCAAAGAGTATCATTCTACCAAACAAAGACTTAAGTGTAGTAACAGGCCAAAACCAGTTGTTGTGTATGAGATAGTAATTAGTGATAACTGGTGTCATCTAATCTATGCCCTTTTTTTACTGTTTTGTTGGGGTTTTTTTTAAACCTTAAAATAATGAGTTTTTGTTTTAGGTAAGCAGTTAAGACTTAAGGAAATCAAGAGTTTGTAATAATTTATTTGAAAATAATAAAATTTTCCTTGCAACAAATGCAAGGAAAAGCATGCTTTTTAGATGTTCTGTTCAATCTCCGGACTTAAATGCTATTGCCTTGTCCTGTTCACAATCACCTTTGGTGAAATTCCCTTTTAAGGCAGCTACAGTTCTTAAAATTTCAACATTGAAGCAACTCAGGCACAAGCCTATAATGTTATATTCCTAATTGCTTGAAGACATGTAGTATCACTGAGTCTTTTTACAGATTACCACTCTAGGACAGAAGAATCACTGCTTCAATAAAACCACTGGAAATCAGAGTACAATGACAAGTTCAAATAATTTTATAGCTATGTTATTACGAAAAGGAGTACATGTACTCCGTATTTTGCCTTAAACTGATAAACTGATGGGCGACTAATTACAGAAATCTATGCAGATGGACATGTTCACGATCTTCCATTTCAGCTTTGTATTTAAATGGCTCTAACTTGTTCCTGTGTCTCTTTCACAGTGCCAGGTCAGAACAACCTGAAAGCACTTTTCCAGAGAAACAAGAAGCTTAGGTCATTGCCATCCCCATTAGCACATGCTGTTTGCTGTACAAATTCCGAATGCAGTAAACTGCTGAACTAATCCAGTTTGAAAGAAGTTTTACCCTTGCAGTAGCAAGTGCTGAGGAACAAATGCTTTTACCAGCAGTACATATGGACAAGAACAACAGCATTGGTTTACTAATACTACGAGGAAATTACACACTGAAGAGAGCTCCTGAAGTATAGCTGATAGAACTCAAGTCACACCAACCTTCCACATGCAGAAGTACAAAATTAAGGACCGCTTTCAGCAGCAAAACATTGGGAGAAATAACCCATAAGTAACTTTGCAGTCTCCAACTCATAAAAAACCTCTCAACATCATCTACCACTGTACTACCAGTATGATGATTTTTTTTAACCCAATCAAAGGTCTTTTTTCCTCTTGAAAAAAGAAGTTATTACAGCTACTAGGCACCAATCCTACATATGGAAAATTCACTCTATGTTTGACCCACTGCAAATTCTTCAGTTGCAGCTGTGAGCCAATACTAAAGGACAGCCAGCTACACCTACAAGAAAACTGCATTAAATCTCGGCTAATAATGAAAACAGTTAGAATTGAAGGGAAGTCTATTCAAATTAGTTTGACACTTAATTTAAGCACACCTTTCAGTCTGTAGAATAGTGATTTTCAGAAATGAGTTAGAAATAAATAAGATACCATAAATGTACCCATCCCATCTGCATCACTATTTTTCTCATTTTGGGATTCTAATCTCCTTAAAAAACAACTTTAGAAGAGATGGCACACATGCCCTCTTCCATGCAATATGAAAAATAACCCCAGGTGAACTAAACAAAACATTCAAGGACACAGAAAGTTCAAAGTACTGTACTACACTACTATCATTTAGAGTACAGTAAGCTAGGAAGGTTCACCTCTCACAGTACAAACCATGTACAGCACCAGTAAGCTGAAGGAAAGATGTTTCAAACAGAAATACATTTTCCTAGTATGAATACAATGTATTTAAGGTAAGACAATCTTGTTTCAGAAGGATTATAAAGTATCCACGCATTTACAAAGCAAAGAAGCTTAACTCTGTCCATATAAAGTACTGTATAACAGTTACACACAGGTACTTTCCTGACTCAGAGTTCACTTGATACAGCTATGAAATCCTTTATATCCATCTATATCCTAATAATTCTATTAGAAGTACAGGCTAATTCTGTACAGAAAAAAACACAGAAGAACTCTTTCTGCCCAGACAGAACCTAATGCTCAATTAGACTTCTCCACAAAAACTGTCATAATTGACAGAGAATGTCATACCAGTCTAACATATTAAACAGTCTTCAAAAACAGAAATTGAAACTTAAAGATAAATCTCGGTGATCATTTCCACTGTCTCCTGTCTTGGAAGTTCTCTGTGAATTCAGTTTAAGTGTATAAATTAGTTTTCAAAAACATGCACAGCACCTTAAAAGCAATACAGAAGGACAAAAAAATATCACTATATGTATGTCTGAACAGAACCAGAGGCAAGGCAGTTAAGCAGTAAAATAATGTTTAAGTAAAAACTTGGCAATACCATTTTGATTTAAAAACATTTCTGGCAGAATAAAGCACTATTTCAGCTACTTACTTTTGGGACAGAAGACTTTCTTCTTTTGGCTCCTGCTTTTTCTTCAGTTCCCTCAGCAGGCTCCTGATTGCTTTCTTGAACAGTTTCTTTGATAGGAGTGTTAACAGCTGGATGAGACTTCAATATAAAAACATAACAAATGAGATGCAAATCCCTTCCTGATCTACAGAGTAATGATATGGAGAGGTGATCTGCCACCTCTATGTTACTGAAGAAAAGCATCATGATAAGGAATGCCTTACTAGAACTACAAAAGTAAAAGATTAAAATATATCTTATTTCATTAATTTCTACAGTTTCCAGTTTAAGTCACATTTTTAATTGCCAATCTTCCAAGCTCTAGCAGTATAATAAATTATTTTCACACTAAAAATATGGCAATGTAAGGTTTTCCTTTAAAAAAAAAAAAAAAGCTTTTAGTAAAACACAACTTGTGATGTTACCACGAATAAATGCATTTTTCAAATGAGCAATCAGTCCTATGTGAGCCAACTATCTGCTTCTGAAAACACAAGCAGAAAAAAATTTTGCAAAGAAGGGTAAGCAATAAATGTAAAAACACAAAGAAACAGTAATGACAAAATTATTCTTTTTGATTCCATTACACTGTAGATAGCATTCTTACTCTTCAGTATTATTAGCTCCTCCAAACAAAGCTGGCAGTACTCCCCTGACACTAATTTCTCCCTCACTGAGGAAGTGGTTTTGGATTTAAGCCCAAGGCACAAGATCCCTTCTGCCCTTCACTTCCCTTACTAGCAGTTACAAGCAACATCTGCAAAGTATAAACACTGCTTTCAGAACACTCCAGCTGCCTCTAGCAGTTAAACAGAAAATACGGCTCTCAAAAGGACTAAGACAAGACACATCCAGTAGAGAGACAGAAATCAAGAAAAAATACTACAAGTGAATCGGTTATTAATAGCTGACAAGTCTGCCATTTAATTACCTGGTATCCAGAACGAAAGCTCAATTTTGGCAAACATCTCCATGTGATTGCCCACTCCCCTCTGGCTTGATCTGTTCTGTGGCCAAAAAAAATTACCTACTTACCCTGAACTTTTAGGCTCTGACAACTAGACTGTTTTCCCTGCTACTGTCCAGTAAATATGCTTCATTTAACCCTATGAATCTTTTTAAAATCAAAGACTTACATGTAGATAAAACACAAGAGACCAAGCACTACACCTTAGGATACATTCATTCACCTCTAAGATAATACTGTCCATTCACCAATGCCTACTGAACACTGTAACATATTAATAGGCCCCAATACATGATGTTAAAATATTGTTGGGAAAACACTGTCTTCACTTACCAGTATACCTAGGTTACCTTTCCTCTCACACCTCATAACCAGCTCCATGTCCTCTCTCTGGTGCCCTGACTGCCTGCACAACACACAGCTCTGGCCCCAGCAGCAGCAGTAGCCGCCCCTGTGCAGCCAGGCCGGGGCTGCCTTCAGCCCGTCACAACCAGTCCTGGCCAGCAATGGGAAACCAACTGCACCCACCAGAGAGCCCCTGGCACCTCTGCCAGCACAGCCCTGGGGAAGGGTGATGAAGGAGGAAAGCAGCTGCCTGGGGAGATACTGCCTGAGGAGAAGAATGAAGCACAGAAGAGATGCCTGCGCAGGCCGCCGGGGAGATGAAGGGAAAGAAGCGGGCAGAAGGAACACGCCAGGAGTCACCCAAGCCAGGCTTCAGCCAAAAGGAGTTGCCTGAGCAGAGAAGGGACAGAAAGGACAGCTCTAAGGGGATTGCAGTCATGCCCAAGCCATTGTGCAAGACACAAGGAACAGCAAAACAAAGAAACCACTACACAGCAGCCTCAGTTTCCTGCGCCACCATCACCTCAACCAGGGGACTGTGATGTGCAGTGAGGAGAATGGAGACCAGCGAGGGGGGAGCAGAGGTGTCTTCTTTGTTTCTTACCAGAATCGGTAACAAAAAGCTTAGGTCAATTGGCTAAATTGTGTCGAATTGCCTGACATGAGTATTTTGTTGCCTGTACCATACCACTCTTTGGCAAAGATGAGAAGATGGGACCTCAGAAGCTTTTTTTTTTATTTTTTTAAATAAAGAAATAGTGGGGAAAAAAATGGCAGAGAACAACCCAATGGCTATAGACAGAACCTGACCAGTTCATACAAAGGCTCTGTGAAAGAGCTATCACTGAAGCTGAAGCAGATGAATGGAACTCAATAGGTGGAAAAGTTGCTCAACTAAGAAAACAATCTACATGTATCTCTTGGCAGCATGTTTTGTGTCTGTCCAATCAGAAATGTTTATAAGAACGTGGGAAATTCTACGAAAGCAACCTGGACAACTGCTTAAGTGAACTTGCAGATTTCTGCTGTAAAAAAAATACTAGATAAGCTTGTCACTGTTGATGGTTTATATCCAGATTTTCTCCTTGTTAGAATGACTGGTAACATATAATTCAGTTATGGTTCACAACTGCCTCAGCTATTCACAGAGCATCATTCCTAAATTATCACAAACCTAAGAGCGAGATGTTGTACTGACTCAAATGTTATGGTAGCAGAAACAATCTGTTCCTTACAGTTATATATAGTCTTTCCCACTGTGATGAGCAGATCAGTATTGTTCCATACCCAAGAATACAAAATGTGTACACTATCTCCATATTCACATGCCATGGTCCTCACAGAAGACTTCAACCACCCTGACATCTGTTGGAAGAACAACTCTTCAAAACACAAACAGTCCAGGAGGTTCCCAGAGTGCAAGAATGATAACTTCCTTTTCCAAGTAATCAAGGACCCAAAAAGGAGAGGTGTTGTGCTGGATCTTGTCCTCACCAACAAGGAAGGGCTGATGAGGGATGTTAAGCTCAAGGGCAGCCTGGGTTGTAGTGACCATGAAATGGTGGAATTCAAGATCCTTAGGGCAGCAAGGAGGGCCCACAGCAAGCTTACTACCCTTCACTTCAGAAAGGCAGATCTCAGCCTCTTCAGGAATCTTCTCAAGAGAATGTCCTGGGATAACATCCTGGAGGGTAGAGGGACCCATAACAGCTGGCTGATATTTAAGAATCATCTTCTCCAGGCCCAAGAGCATTGCATCCCAACTAAGAGGAAGTCAAGTAGAAACTCCAAGAGGCCAGCATGGATGAGTAAGCAACTCCTAGAAAAGCTCAAACTGAAGAAAGAAGCACACCGGGGGTGGAAGCCAGGGTAGGTATCCTGGGAGGACTGCAGAGAGGTTGTCTGAGCAGCTAGGGATCAGGTTAGGAGAGCCAAATCCCTGCTAGAATTAAATCTTGCCAGAGATGTTAAGAACAATAAGAGAAGCTTCTTTAGGTAAGTTGGGGAGAAAAGGACATCCAAGGAGAATGCAGGCCCTCTCCTGAAGGAAATGGGCAAGACAGTAACACAGGATATTGAGAAGGCTGAGGTTCTCAATGACTTCTTTGCTTCAGTCTTCTCTGGCAAATGCTCCAACCTCAACACAAAGGCCACAGAAGGTGAAAGCAGGGGCCGGGAGAATTAATTAACCCCACTGTAGGAATAGAGCAGGTTCATGACCATCTAAAGAACCTGAAGGTGCATAAATCTATGTGACCTGATGGGATTCACCCATGGGTCCTGAGGGAGATGGTGGATGCGATTGCTAACCTTCTGTCCATCATATTTGAGAGGTCATGGCAGCCTGGTGAGGTTCCTGCTCATTGGAAAAAAAAAGGGAACATAGCTCCTATTTTTAAAAAGGGGAAAAAGGAAGAGCCAGGGAACTAGAGGACAGTTAGTCTCACCTCTGTGCCTGGCAAGGTCATGGAGCAGATCCTCCTGGAAAGTCTGCTAGGGCACATGGAAAATTAAGAGGTGATTGGTGACAGCCAACATGGCTTCACTAAGGGCAAGTCATGCCTGACCAATCTGGTGACCTTCTGCAACAAGGCTACAGAGATGGTGGATGCTGGCAAGAGCAACTGACGTCATCTACCTGGATTTGAGCAAAGCACTTGACACTGTCCCATATGACATCCTGGTCTCCAAACTGACAAGGCAGGGATTTGACAGATGGACCACTCAGTGGATAAGAGATTGTCTGGATGGCAGCACCCAGAGAGTTGTGGTCAATGTCTCAATGTCCAAATGGAGGCAGGTGATGAGTGGTGTCCCTCAGGGGTCAGTACTGGGACCAGGGCTGATTAACATCTTTGTTGGTGACACGGACAATGGGATGGAGCGCATCAGCACAAATATAGGCTGGGGGAAGAATGGCTGGAGAGCAGTCCTGAGGAGAAGGACTTAGGGGTGGTAGTAGATGGGAAGTTCAACATGAGCTGTGAGTGTGTGCTCGCAGCCCAGAGAGCCAAACACATCCTGGGCTGCATCAAAAGAAGTGTGGCCAGCAGGGCCAGGGAGGGGGATTCTGCCCCTTTGCTCTGCTCTGGTGAGACCCCACCTGGAGTACTATGTACAGTTCTGGTGCCCTCAGCGTAAGAAAGATACAGACCTGTTGGAGAGAGAGGGTCCAGAGGAGGGTCACCAAGATGATCAAAGGCCTGGAGTACCTCTGCTATGAAAACAAGCTGAGAGAGTTGGGGCTGTTCAGCCTAGAGAAGAGAAGGCTCCAGGGAGACCTTATAGTGGCCTTCCAGTACTTGAAAGGGGCCTACAGGAAAGCTGGGGAGGGGCTTTTCATCAGAGAAGATACTGATAAGGCAAGGGGTAATGGTTTTAAACTGAGAGAGGGGAGATTTAGATTGGATACTAGGAAGAAATTCTTCACTATAAGGGTGGTGAAGAACTGGAATGAACAGAGAGGTTGTTGATGCTCCATCCCTGGAGGTTAAGGCCAGGTTGGATGGGGTTTCATGCAACCTGATCTAGTGGTAGGGGTTCCTGCTCATGGCAGGGGAGTTGGAACTTTATGATCTTTAAGGTTCCTTCCAGCCTTAATGATTCTGTGATTTTAACTCTCAGCTCTACTTCAGAAACTCCTTACCTCTTCATCCACGTTGTCCTTGAAACTAGAAACACAGTGAATTGGAACATTTTATGAAGCAGGGATTAACTGATGCTGAAATGCAAAGTTGCCATGGCATGCAAAAGCAGCAAATAATACCAATTTCTGTTTATAATTACT